GAGCCCCGGTTTCGCCGGTGCTTCGCGTCCGTGGGGTGTTCGAGCGAAAGTGACGACCGGAACATGTGGGGCAACGCTACGAACAGAGCAAGAAGCTACGAACGTGGCTCCTGGCCATACTACACAAGAAGCTACTAGCTAATAATGCATTACCCTATTCGCCAGATTCCCAAAAATGACTTTGAGATTCCCAGTGGATGGTCTTACCCTGACATTCCACGATTTGCCTGCGAACAAACCGGCACGTGACTACGTCATTGATGCCTTTATATGTCTTCCTTTAGATCGGCTCCAATGGCAAAAGCACGGTGAGACCCATTCCCCGTGGTTGTGAGCAGTAGTTAGGAGGAGCATAGACCAGCAACGCCTTTGGTCTCTTTCCAAGGAGGCGGCCAGCTGGATTTCGATTTCTCCTCTGATGACTTCGACAGGGCCTCCTAGTTCGAATTTCCAACGATGACCGGCGGGTTGGGATCTCTGACGAACACTGGGTTGCAAGATCTCTGAGAAGTGTGGAGAAGTGTGGAGAAGTACTATTCACCTCTGGAATTCGATCCCTCCCACCGACTGCGACCGAGTGTTTCCATCCCCCAGCTGCACACGAGCCCCGCACACAGACCCCAGCACAGCACCGCGGTCTCGACCTCGCTGACAGGTCGGAACAAGACGCTTCGAACGTCGATTCGGGTTCGCTGGTGACCATCACCCTGGTCCAGGCTGAGTATTGGTGACCTGATTGGAGTATTGGCCACTGGCCTGTGCTGATAGGTCTCGAAATGACCCAACGGTCGAACGAGAACTGCTGCACACGGACGTTTCGGGCACGGGTTCATGGTGACGAGGGCGTTCCGGAACGAAGAACCGCGAAGAAGACCCGGCATGGGAAGGATGCTTTCTCCGCAGGGTCCAGGCGATTTGAGGATAAGGGCACTCTCGCCACTGTGGCAGGCAGTTTCAGAAAAAATAACTGTAAAAAAGAAACTCGGAAATGGTTTCCAAAGTGTGTGTCGTGATGTTTCTTGAAAAGGAAATAAGATATGACATGTGCTCCTTGAACCCAGCGGGACAAATGCCCCACATTTTGCCACTCACCTCTCACATGAGCTTCATCCACACAGTACTGTAACTCACTTAGTGGTGGGCCTCGCTATAGGTGTTTTCCGGATGCACGCTGTCAGATGCAAAGTCACGGAAGCCGAAAGTGCAAGTTCCTTACAAATCAAAAAAAAATCGAAAAAGAGAAGAACAGCTGAGATCATTCCCTTGCGATGGGCGAAAAAGAGCTTTCCTCCCCGAAGGCGGCTAAGCCCTGCACCTCCATCCTCCGCCTGGCCCAGACGAAGACTCGGCAAAACAACACATTTTTCGGAAGAAGTCTTACCTGACCAAGAGAGGACCGGAACATACCAGAACAGTGGAATGTCATTCTGAGATGGCCACTTATGGGGATGAAGCCCGAATGAGACCTGATCGAAACCTGGAGCCCGACCCGTCCACCATCCCGCGCGAACGACGAACGACTAGTCCACCAGGTGCAGGTCGTGCCCCCGTGGTCGTGCCCGTTCGTCCACCCACAGCCATGTCACCATGGGCCATGGGTCTTGGAAGATCACACAGACAGAGGGGCTCACCGAGACAGAGTATGTCTCACCGAGACAGAGGAGCTCACTGAGGATGTTTTGGTGTCTCACCAAGACGGAGTGTGCCGGTCCCAGCCCCTCACCCATCCCCCCATCGCCGCGCCTGTGGCGGAAACCTCGGTGTGTCCCCCACCAACGAACAAGGAAACGTCTCAGACGGTTCGGTGTGGGGAAACAAAACGAAAGCCAACATGATCGACATGATGGGGCTTTAAACCAAAAAGACCCTGGAACCCGCGTGTTTACAGGCAATTTGGCACCCCAAACCGGACTTGGGCATGTTTATCAATGCGAGGCGTTTGGTTGTGGCTTTTTGTTGTGTGTTTGTGAGCACCAACATCAACTTTGCCTCTCTGAATCTCTGCAAAGCTGACTGAGGCAACTCGCACGTCCAAACCCGAAGACACGCGTCTTGTTTGGAGAAGAGCCACCGGTCAGTCGGTCACTGGTGAGACCCCTGACCGACCCAACGTGAAAATATAGTCATTGATGCAAGCAACTTGGCATCCTGTAGAGTGAGTTCAGGCTGCAATGTGCCAGCCCATGGGCCCATTGACTTGATATGTCTTCTCATGCAGCCCCCCTGTGCATCCTTTCCGAGGACCCTAGGAGCTGGGAAAACCCAAGCTGAAGCTGGTGACCATACACTCGCTAACTGGTACACTCCCTCCAATTATATTCCATTTGAACTTATGATACTACCGTGGGAAATTCCATCTTCACTGACCCATTAAACTTATACCGTAAACAGTAAACACCTCAAGGCTTGTGGTATCCGGGTTGGGGCAATGCCAAGCACAACTGGGTCCCCTGCGCAGCTGTCGATTGCTGCATCAAGGGGTTAGGTGGAATCGCCGTGCCAAGAGATTGCATCGAGATTGATGGAGCAGCTGCTTGTGGCACATGCTGCAGGGAGTGAATCTGCTGTAGTTGTTGCTGCTGGAGCTGCTGTTGGAAGTGTTGTTGTTGTATATGCTGCTGTTGCTGCTGCTGTTGCAAATGCTGCTGTTGCTGCTGCTGTTGTTGCTGCTGCTGTTGAAACTGCTGTTGCTGTTGCTGTTGTTGCTGTTGCTGTTGCTGCTGTTGCTGTTGCAACTGCTGCTGTTGCTTCAGCTGATGCAACTGCTCAAGCATTTGTTGCTGTTGTTGTTGCTGTTGTTGCTGTTGTTGCTGCTGTTGTTGCTGCTGCTGCATCTGAAGCTGTTGCAACCTGGCAACAGTCGCAGCGTTCAGGCTCGACTGCGCAAGCCTGGGACCTCTGTCAAAGACCGTTGGTGACCAATACTAGGAGATACTAAGAATATGTCGCTAGTCCGACACTGAAAAAGTGTGTCTCATGCAGTCTCATGCAGCACATCTATCCCTTCGATCCCTTCCCTCGAAGACACCTCCCGACACTTCCCGCCCCTTGATACCAAGAAACATCAGAACGAACATGAAGAAAACAAACACTCCAGACATGCATAGACATGACTGCACCAGGTCAGACCGCGCCCCGTGCCTGCGCCCGCCCCCGCGCGCGGCGGTCCGGGTCCCCGTGCCCGTGGCCGGCGATGCCCGGCTGCAGCGGACGGGCCGTCCTCGGGGAGGCGAAGAGCTCGACCTACGTCTGGGTGTCCAGACTACCCTACCCTACGTAAACAGGTCTCCTACTCCAGGGCACCCAGACAGGAAGTGCTAGGTAAGACCGCCCGGATTTCGGTGGTCCCCTGTTCAAGAGCCCGTTGGTTGTGTTCTTTCTTTTACAGTGGTTTCTGTGAACTGGTACATATATACTGGTCCCCGGTTCTGTTTCTTTTCGGGGTGAGGGTAGATCCGCAACGGCCAGGATAGTCTGGTCGCCCTCTCAATCTTAGAATTCTTGGAGAAAGACTCTCTGTCTCACTCACTTACGGAAACTGGAGAGTGATGCGATTATAGAACTGCCTTTGGATCTATATGTGGGTGCTACAAAGAGGGCTTGGGATGGTGTGGTAAATTTAGAAGCTCTGCAGTTTCCAGAGCTTGTTCTTGCTGGGGGGATATATCCTGGCATCTCCTGGCAACCGGCATCCTTTTCACTGCAGCCGATCTTCGCAAATCTGCCCAAAGCAGGGGCAACGTGGTCAGACCCCTTCTCTTCTACGAGGAAGCCAAACTGCTTTGCTTCCAACCTAATAGCGATGGCCTCCACCTAGTAGCGTCCTGGCTACTAGTAGCATCCTTGCTCCTAGTAGCGATGCCCTTTGTTACTATATAGCAGCTTCTTGCCTCAGGTGCCCTATCCAAGCTTCTCAGGTCGACATAGAACTCTGTAGATGAAGGGCCCTCCTCCAGTTTCTGAATGCTTGCAGCGCATCTTTCTGCGTCTCCAGCATTGTGCTCCCAACAAAATTCAAGTGCGGCAAGTCAAATGATCATGAATTCTCAGCACAATCAGAGCTTGGCAAGCTCATGCTTCAGCAGTTTGGCGCTCGGTCTCCACCCGTGGAAACATCGCCCTGAACGGAGCCTCCAAACGCCACGCGCACGTCGGTTGCTCGGGTCTCGACGTTTCGATGCTCCGCGTCGGTCGCTCCGACCCATCGACCGACCGAGCACTACTCGAACATGTCCACGCGGTTCCCGTAATATGGAAAGCTGATAGAACGATTCTGGAGAGCCTCCCGGAACTGGCGTTCGGATGTTCGGAACAGACAACATCACTCCACATCAGGGTCGGCCAAAAAAAAGAACCTGGAGTGCCCACCGGGAACACCGCTTGCTTCCTGCCTTCATCGGAAGGGCCTCGCCAGCACGGCCTGGCGGAACGGTCGTGCACCTGGTCCATAAGCATCAATGAAACCTCTGTTTGGTGGCAAACCAAACGGTCAACTTGAAACGCTTGGGTTCAGTTCATCTCAGAATATGTGTGTACAGTATATGATACATATATATATATACAAATGTAACAATATATATATATATATGGATGGATGGATGGATGGATGGATGGATGGATGGATGGATGGATGGATGGATGGATGGATGGATGGATGGATGGATGGATAGATAGATAGATAGATATGATAAGATAAGATAAGATAAGATAAGATTAGATTAGATTAGATTAGATTAGATTAGATTAGATTAGATTAGATTAGATTAGATAGATAGATAGATATAATATTATATATCATATCATACAATTATGTAACCTAGCGGTTTGATGCGGTTTGACTTTATTTGGACCGACTGAAGCAGAGGAATGTCCTGAACTCGGGCCACCTAGTAACGACCATTCTTTTTGATAGTCTTTGACTAGGGAAACAACCTCGTAGCGACCTAGCAGGACCTCCAGTAGAGACACTCCCAGAACCATCCTTCCCACCACGCAGCTTTTTGGACATCGCGTGTCCGATCAAACCCTTCCGGGATCTATCGCGACCTCTTTGGGATTGGCTGGGCGCACGACGGGGGTGTGATTTTCACACGGCACTCAGCTCAGGGTATCTGCAAAGGTCTCGGTACAAAAGTGCATATCTAGGTCATCATCGTGCACCACGATCTCACGGAGGCTCTCACGGAGCAGGTGAAGCTCCCGCACCAGCTGCTCGATCGTGGGCCGCAGCACGAACTTCACGCTCTTCGCCCGGCAGCGCTTCCCTCTGAAGATCGGCGCCATGCGGACGACGCGCGCCAAGGCCTCCCGCTCATGCGGAGCGTCGCCGATGCTGATGATGTTCTTCCACGACTGGTTGGGGTATCGCTGGTAGAAGCCTTCGATGACCTCTTCGAAGCAACGAGCCTTCCATCCAGCAGGTGACGTGACACCAGTGGGCTCGAACTGCGACCGTGCAGAAGCCACCTCACACTTGGACACGGTCTCCAGCAGGCTGGGTAGCCATGCCCTGCAACTCATTTCCACCCAACCTTCCTCGGCATTGGTGACCACCACTACCTTGTCGGCCAAGCTCGCAGCCACGTCGATCACGTGCCGCGCCTCATTCGCCAAGACTTCCAGGCGCGAGGCAAGCTCGACGCTGGGCCGAGGGCCAAGCACAGAGAGCCCATGCTGGCGCATGCATGTGGTCGAGGGACAGATCGTGTCATCCCAATCGAAGATGATGATGGTCTGGTTGGGCTGATGATATTCGGCAGAGCTGCCGGTGGATTTACACGACAATGGCGTCACATCCAGCGAAATACGCCTTTCGAAGTACTCCGGCGAGTTCAACTCATCCTCCTCGGTGTCGATCTCCAAGTACGGCCGGGGGACCCGGCTGCGGCTCTTGGTGTCTGGCGTCTTCGCATTCACATTGTCGCACTCCTCGGAGCCCTTATTGGCGACATCCACCTCCTTGTCTCCTACCACATCCACCACATCCACCTCCACGCATTTCGGCTTGGCCGGTGAGAGCTCTGAGCTCGTTTGCGGCTCAGCATTCTCCATCTTTGGATTCGCAACTCGGCATTTTCAGCCAGAATGGCTGCGACGAAGCCATTCGGTCAATTTCGAACGCCTGGGTGTAGTTTATCTCTGAATATTTATGTGTATATATATATATACCCTAGAAGTCCAAAGACTCTGTTTGGACCGACTGAAGTAAAGGAATGTCTTTTTCGGGTCACCTAGTCAGACCATTATTTTTGTCTTTGAGTCTTTGACTCCCAGGCGAAAAATATTACCAAAAACAAGTCTTCGGGCAGGAGTCGGGGCTTGGACGTTCGCCCCTAGTCTTAGGGGCCCTGGACGATTGGAACACCCTAGTCTAGTTGAGACTAACACATCTCATCTTGCTCCGGTCAGGGCGACTTCATCACCGGAGGATTTACTTAAGGCACCGCGTTCTTTCACCGGGGCCGACCTGTGCTCCGCATGTTCATTTGATTGGAGTTTTGTAGGAAATGAGGGAATGGATGTTGAAGGATCTATCAATCTATATACTTATCTTTTGACTTACTAATATGGGAAGTGGACAATAGATGACAATAGGCCCCTGTAAAATCAGGTGGTTTTCCACTTCCATGTTGGTGAGTCAGGGGGATCACCTCATTTCCAAGCCCGCTTCGATCACCACGTGTCGACTCGCTTCCACCCCACCGGAGCGCCAAGGATTTCGAGGCCTTCGGCTCGCGGAGCCGAGCTCGCTTCCCCTGTGGCGCGGAAGCGAGAAAGGGGCGACATGTGTGGATTTCAGTGTCATGAGTCATGAGGTGGTGAATGTTGATGGTTTTTCTGGGTTCAAACACCCATCTGGCCTGGCCTGGCCGTTGGTTGGCAACCAGGTAGGGGGAGGGTGTTCGGAATGTCCCAGGGAGACATCGCCACTGATTACGCCACCCTCCATTCTCTTGCAAAATGGTTTCTATATGACTTAGAAAGGAAGTAGGATAAAAAGATCGAGACACAGAGACAGGGACCATTTCCTTGGTTCATCTTGCTTCTCTAGGTGTTTGGGTGCAGCGTGAACTGCAAGTCTTCGAGGCTGCTGCCAGTTGGCATCGTGGGTGGAGCGCATCTGGAGACGAGCGACACGGCTTGACACGAGGACCCAAGAGGCTTCCACCTCCAGCAGGACCAACAAAAGATTCTGATTCACGCAGAAAGTGCCCTTCAGATATCTTCAGGAGAAAAAAACAACCCAAATGGGTTGTTTTCATGATCTCTCTCTCTCTCTCTCGTCGAACCTCACACCCAACACACCCGTGCACGTCCTTTCGGCACGGAGCCACCTGCCTGTCGCGTGTTCTCGGCCGCCGCGGTGAAATTTTCGGCGCCCGAGCCGCGCCGGTGCCGGGCGGCGCCCGTGGCAGAAGACGTGATCTGCTCGGTGTTCGTAGAAAGAATTGGTCACGGGGCGTGAGATGGAGATGTGGAAGATGGATTCTTTGAACTCAGAAGAGCTTGAGAGGAAAAATGAGAAGCACGGATTTATACATATATATATATTTATATTATATTATGTTATGTTATATTATGTTATATTATAGTATTTGAATGTATTTGACCATGTCAACTTGGAGACCTGATCGTAACCTGCTGGTGTTTCGCACTGTGAGTCGCGTCTTCATGGCCAAGGGAGAATCCTATGTGTCCAAGTCATCATGTTGACACCATGCAGCGGCGAAACAGACGGCCTTCCCTGCTTGCACTCATGACAGGACAAGGTCTGAGCCTGCCCTTCACAAGGCGCCCAGCAAGCACAAGTAGCCCATTGTCTTGCTGTCATCCACTTGGCGCCAAGTGGGTTGGCCTCAAACGCCTCGTCTGCTGTCGGCAGACCATGGTGCGCCCCACACCCGGCCAGCGGTGTGACAAAAGAGGCTCGCGTCTTTCAGGCGCCCGAGCTCTTCTTGGGTAGGGCCATTCTCTTCAGTCCTTCACCAGGTTCGCACTTCCAAACTCCCCAACGATTTCAGGAACCCGTTCCGGACCATCGGTCCGATTCCGTGCAACCGCGCCGCATCGGACGCCCCGTGTGGCGTCCACGCGTTTGGAGCCCGGACGGGTGCCCAAAAGCACTGGAGACGGGTCCCGGACCTGGGGAGGCATGTCCGGGCGAGGGAATGGAGCGCCTTTTGACGGTCCGCGTTCGGGCAACTGCAGCACCCTGACGGTGCAACACTTCCGGTCGGTGGGTCAATTCATTGGAATGAACCCATGGGCAGATGCGTGTGTGGATGTGGTGTAAAACTCCAAGCCTAATGTCACCTGTTGATTGATAATCCCCCCATTTGGGATTGCAACACCTCTTCATGTGGGGAGTTTAATTCATCCACAGTCTATATACAATGCATGGAAAAAAGTCAATATGAGCAGGAGGTGGGTCATAGTGTTCTTTCTGGCAGGAAGATTCGGCGACTTGGAGTCCATCCAAATAGGGTTTTGGCAAAAAAGCGAGGACATGGCCGACATGGCCAAGTGCTTTCCCTTCCACCTGCCACTCTTCAAACGAAAGCGCCGACGCCTTCACAGTGCTAGGGCCTCCAGACCCAAGACACCCGCATCCATCGAGAAGTCCTTGGTCCGTCGACCCGCTCGCTGGAAGCGGGCCCCCGAAGGTCGGAGGGCGCAAAGGCTTGGTGCGAAGTAAAAAAACGCCCTTGTGCTGGATGGGTGCCATCCCCACTGGTCGCCATACTGAGTCACAACTCGGGGTGGTCATGGTCGTCTGCCAAGGCGGCTTTGGGCCAATGCATCTGTGAGATGGATGAGATCCAAACCTTTAGGACTCTTGGCACTTAAGGATGGTGACTCGGTCTGAATCCGCCAGAAAAAGAAGTTGTCCCTCTCCAACCGTTCGACGGGATCGACGCACCTGTCGTCCCGGATTCAGAAAAAAAAAAAAAACAAACTCTTTGGGAAGCCTTCCACAAATGAACGGATCTACGGAAGCACATCCAAAAGAAACAAGTTTCAATGTACCACGTGATGATCTGGGGCGTTTTCATCCTTGGTCTTGGGCCCTCTTGAGCCCATTTCCACCAACACGGACTGTGCACCTCCTCCTATTCCTCACCCCTCACACCTGCCTTGACAGAACCCCTCAGAGTTGGTGATGCCCCCAGCCCAAACTCCGACTGTTCCATCCTCTTCACCCCAAAAGAACAGAACCGAAAGAAGAGAGAAGCACGTCTTTCTCCTGCACTGATGTTGCCAAGATGCCGTCTGTCCTCAGAAGTGAGGCACAGCCCTCCAAACGGTCTAGACATGCCAAGTCGGGTCGCGTGAGGATTCGTGTTCATCGTGCCTTCCGCTGAAACAAACGGTGAAGAAAAGTGTTCTGTCCATTTTCCTAGACAAGGGGTTTCCTGGGAGGTACCCTCCTTCCTGAAAGACATCCTCATGTCCTGTAAGACTTGAAAGTGATGGAAGCCTCCCGCTTCAAGCAAGAACAAGGGTGCCGCAGGGCTGAAAAACATCATCATGTGCTTCATGTGCGCAGCTTCAAGCAGCTTCACAAGAGTTCCTTATGTTGGGACTTGGGGATGGGCCCCCCCCTCTGCGCTCCTGAATTGTCCTACGAATCAATCTTCCCTCCTCGTGGAGTTGGAGCGAGTCAGGGTGCTTCACTGCGCGAGCAAAAAAATCGTAAAGCCGGAGTTTGCAACAGCTCTTTGCCCACCTCCGTGATGGCTCCGTTCGGGGAATCTTGTGAACGAATCAAGGTCACAAAACATGGGGGAATCTGCTTGACAGATTTCTGGTATCCGGCAGCTTAACACTATATACATTACAGTACGTATCTCTATCCAACGATCACGGACGTCCAGCGACCAGACTTGGATCGGGTGTCCTTCGCTTCCCTCCTGGAAAGCAGACACCGCAGGCCAAGTGGGTGTGGCTTGGATGAGGAGATCTGGAAGTTTGGATCCCCTGGATCGGCAAGGATTGGGCCTGTATCATCCTCTTGATTATTGGAGGTCTTGGGCCTGAAAACTTTTGAACCTTTGCGATTCCGTCCAAAACTGTCCGGCAAAGAGTTGTCTGCATCTGCTTGTCCAAGTGAAAGAAGCCCTATCTCCAGCGGGGCGTAGCGTTGCTACTGGGCACGGCCCAAAACGGAAGTCCTCTTGTCCGTGCTAAGCAGGTTGTCTCCCAGCAATGGGTTGACTTACTTCTCAGCTGGCCTTCCTTTTTTTGCACCAAAAAGCCTTTTATAAATGCAATTTTTTCTTGGGGTCCACTACCACCCCAAACGATGCCCTACTCTCGCTCGCGCGCTGGCCCATTCAACCCTGTTGCTCCTGCTCAGCCTCCGCCTGACACTGAGGAAAACTCGCAAGGCGATAGAGGGACCAGCCCGTGCAGTGCGCAACGGGCTTTGGGACCCTCCCGGTGGGATTCAATAAGAGGTCATGTCCAGGTCCAGCCAACAGCGTAGGCAAGGTGGCCTCCCCAGAATGTGCGATAGAGGTACTGTTTACTTCTCTCTTTATGTGAGAAATCCAGCATCCCTCCTTTTCAGCCATGTGCGTCTCGGAGCCTTCCACAAGACCCAGATCTGAAGATCCATGCTTACAAGAGCCAGCCATTTGGCAGACTAAAAGCAATGGATTTCAAAAGTCTCATCATGAGTCCCACCATCCTCCCATCCCTCAGCCTGCCCTTCGGGCACCCCTGAGCGCCCCGAGCCCCTCTGAGCTCAATGAGGCTGTGTGCATAGCTGCAAGAGTCTGGCAGGTTGGAGGCCATTGCTATTGTCACGTGCAACCTAGTGCTCTTCCCCGGCAAAAGCGCGTCATCTCTGCGAAAGAAAAGGTCCATCCCTGAATCCAACCGCACCCCCACCCCCGGACATGCCGGCGGGTCCATTTTGGCAGTTCCCGGCCAGGAAGCTCATGCACATCTTGGTCCTTGGGTTCCATGTGCGACCACATGGGACCACACCGATGAATTTCAATGATTGACCCGGAGGGGCAGGACATCCGGATCAACCAGGACTTGATTTTTCTCAGGATGAAAGGAAGTCGTTGAAAGAATCACAGTTCTCGTACAATTTGAAGGTATCCTATTAGCAAATGGTTAGTAAAGGCCTTTCTATGCCTTTCTCTAAATATATAGTGATAATTGTTTACTGACTGTTAAAGGTAATAGGACAGACTCGATGTATAATCATACTTCATAGATCCTCTTCCCCTTGATTCTAGAGAATGTGCTCGGGACAAGTTCTCATCTTTCACGAAGACTCAGCGCACTTCTCTACTTCTCATCTTTCACTAAGAAACTTCATCGTGTCCCCATCAGCACTGAGCCTGTCCCAACTTTTCCAACATAACATCAAACTTTTTTGGTGCCAACCCCTCTTTGGAACCGCCTGGGTTGCACTTTGGTTCACATGCCTGCTTTCAGGGATGGAATCCCAAGTAGCTACACATCCACAGATGCTGCACGCACGACCCACCACGCAGAATGGCTCAGGCCCCAGCTTGGAGAGGTTCGGACGAGGCTGGAGCTCCTCCGTCCACAGCTGGAAATCCGCACAGAGAGAAAACAGGAAGCGCTCGTCGTTTTGGGTGAACCAGTGGCGAAAACCTCTGACGCTTCCATGTGTCAATTCGGATCAGGCCAGTTGTTCTTTTCTCAGAAGACAGGCAAGTGTGACAAGCCAATCCCTTCAAACATCCCATGGGTCCAGCTGCTCATCTTCGAGTCATCCACCATTAGACTCCGCAACCTCCACATCTTCAGTATGTTCAGAACAAATGTTGACTTGATCAAAGAGAAATCCATCTCTCATCCATGCCAGTCCTCGTTGTAGTGAGCATATCCACATTTGTCCTCCCGGACTCCGCGGACGAGCCGGAACACGCGGACGAGCCGGAGCACTTCATGGCTCCGGACGTAGCCTCCCCTCTTCCGTGAAAGACCCAACGAATCGTGCATCCTGTGCTCCGAAACACGCGAAAGGTCGCGTGCGTGTACAAGAAGAAAGCCCCGGCTAAAAAAAGGCACATCCCCGGATATCAGGCACATCATCCTCACTGTGCGTCAAAAAGGTTCCCCTCATCCTCATCTCTCATCCCCCTCCTGGTATCTGCAATATCCTCTCAAAAAGTGCTTGCAGAACCTCCGCGCTGGACGGAAACGCGCAAACATAAGTAATCGTCGTTGGCCGAGTTCGACTTGCGACGAGTTTGGAGAATCCAGTGGAATCCGGCTGAAAAAGGTTATTCAAGGAACTCAGGGTTGAAGTTTGACCCTGCACTTTTGGAACTATAACAATCCATTGAACAAAAGGTTAAAAAATCGACCCCAAGCCAACAGAGGGTCGTAGGATCAAAACAGGGAGCATGGGTTCCAAGGTGCCGCAGGGTATGTATAGATCGAAGGCGAGGCACGGTCCAAGATGGATTTGAGGGGCTGCCTGGTGGCCCGAGAAAAGAAGGTCTGAAGCTGTGGATATTGAGTGTTTGACATGATATACTTGAATACTCAGATTGGCCCAATACTGTATAAATCAACTGCTTGAACTCATATTGAGTCCTTTAACTTTAACACTCCTTCCGCGCTCAACCACCCGTTCCACCCTGCTACCACATTGCCAGCCCAAAGATCCTTCAATCTCCGCAATCCTGCAATGTGCAATGAAAAACGTTTTACAGATCGTCCCCGGTCCAAAACAAAAAGAGACATGAGCATGACTTGGTGTCGCCTCTTCATGCGATCCAGTTTGGGTCGCAGGGGTGTACGGATCCGCCTGGTCTTGACCAACTGTTTGGCCATGCGCTTGCTGGGCGCCGGCGGAGTTGGCGCACCTGGGTTGCTGTGCCAAAGCTGATGCAGCAAGATGTCAAGCAGCTTGTGCCATACACTAGTTGCAAAGTTTCTGGGATGAAGTGCAATGTCTTTCTTCTGGGCTATGCAGTGCATACTATGTAGCCGGGAGGTGGTTGTTCCCCAAGGAGGCCTACACCTCCTGCCTCTTCGACGTGGGTAAGTCTGAACCACGGTCCCACCGGTCGACCCTCCAAGGACCGACCGAAGTTTGGACGAAACTGTTGGTCAGAACCTGGATCTCCAAAACCCTGCAGGTGTCCCTGCGGTTTTTTGGTAGGTCAGAACTTTGTGTCGGGGTGAACCAAGTGGTCAGAACCTGGATCTTCGCATTGTGAGAAACGTGAGCTTCTCATTCTGAGAAACGGGGAAGGGATGCTTAAACAGGTGGGTTGACCGTCCATTCTGTTCATTTTGATGGGTCAGCCAAGGTTTCCTGGATTTGAACAATAGCTAAGAGCTATATCAGTGTGGGGCGGCGACGTGTTGCTCTTGGGCCAATTCAATTCCACCCGGTTTTGGGCAAACCACTCAGTTCCACCAACTTGTGTGGTGTGGTACGTGGAACTCTGCCCACCACAGATTCCAAAAAGTACGCCTTTGCACCAATCATGTCAAGGAGAAGGCCTCTGAGGTCTCTCACGCTGAAATTGGGGTGGTCTTTCCATCCAGCACATGCCGCCCAGCATCTGGGGTCCTCAGAAGTTCCCCTCTCGAACTACTCAGTGTTCCCCACTTCTTCAAACCCATGCTCTGCGATGAAATCCGCATCGCCCAAAGCAAGTCGGCCTGTACCATGGTCTTCTTCCAGCGAGTTTCCCTGCAGGGGCTTCCGTCGGTCATTTCCGAGAACACGGGTACCTCCGGAGAACGAGGTTCCCCAGTTCCCCCTTGCCACCACCAAATCTGTGGGCACTTTAGATAACAGCAGAAAGAACTCAGTGCTTTGGGCTCGACGGACAAGAAAGAGGCTGGTCAATCACGACAAGTCCTACAAGGGACTTCCAAGAGCGTCCCGAACGGCAATCGTCAGGATGCGTCGGGGACCAACGTCCCGCAGATGGCAGATGCGTCCGTTGCCCAGTTTTTTCATGTGCGAGCGTAGGGGGTCTACGAATGCCACTGAATCTTATGTTTGAAGATCCTGGAGGCCCTTCAAAGGTCTGGAGGACCTCAACCATAAAGGGATCGGGAATGAGACGTAGATGCTCAACGCGTTGGAACCTTTCTTTGAAGAGTGCTACACAGCAAAACCCTAAACATCAGGTGCTCGGCAGGGAGGCTCTTCCAAGAGCGTCCCTTCCGTCGGGCGCTGGGCGTCGGGCGCCCCATCCCTCTTCGTCCAGCGTCCAACTAGGCACCCACACACCCCATGGCTCCTGCTCACCGCTCCCCTCGCGGCAGGGGCTCGGTTTTCTACATGGCGTCCAAAGGCTGGTCAATTCATCCAGAAAAAGGATCAGAAATCATGGAATGGTCCTTATTGTAGACTCAGATCCGGTTCGTTTCTGATCCACTACACTTCACTACACTCCCAGCAGAGAGAATCACAGTAGACTCAGTAGACATGGTGGAATCAGACGAATCCATGCCTTTTACATGGTAGAAACATGTCAAAGCCCTCATCTCCAACAGGGTCCCACCCTCCAGCTCTCACATGAAACTCCATCCAACCTCATGTCGCCCCTTCCAGCCCCACAGTGGGGAGCTTCGCTTCCCTCCCTCCCCTCCTGCATGTCAGGTGGACCATCGCCACTCCTTCAAAGCCTGGCGCACGGAAGCCCCCAACAGAAAGAGCATCCAAAAAACATCAAAAAAACCTCCCAGCGCATCTTCACCACATCAACTCACCCCCCCTTCCCTCACACCCCACGCATGCCCTTCACATCAGCGCACCCTTCCCTTCCACATGACCTGAGTCATGAGGGCCAAGTGCCGCGAGGAAACGCCCCTCGCGGCCGCCGCGGTCGCCGCGGGGCCTTCCGTCGCACCGAACCGCCAGCGCCGGCGCCCTCGAACCCGGCGGCCGCGCGGCGGTCGTCGCAGCGGTTAGCAGGGGTCCGACCGCTGCGATTGACGACTGGTCGGTGCAGGGGCCAAAGGGGAAAAAGGGCCTAAGAGGTGCAAAAGCTCTGCGGCTCTGCGTTCGCTGCTTTCCGCGAAGCGAAGTATGCTGAGCGTCCAGCAAGTGGGACCCACATGCACCAAATGCATCCAAATGCACCGTAAAGTTGCTCCGGAAAGTGAAGCGTCACACCATGTCACACCGCCTGGTCTTCTGAACCTCTGTAGATCCTGGTTGGCGCCACCCTGTCCAGTGTCTTGAATCTCGTGGTTGATCACAGTAACCCAAACATGACTCGACCAACTATAACTATTCGCACCCCAGATGACAACACATGGAATAGGAAAAGATCACCGTGGAAGACCAAGTGTCAAACAGGGACATCAGCTATTATGGAGATAGACTGGGTGCACGATTCACTCAAGAATTTTCGACCAAGCTCAAAGCATTCCTTTCGTCCTCCACTCTCAGAAGAAGAAGCCCACGATCTTGCCACCCACGTGCTT